CTCCCCCTCAAATTCAACGGTGAGATAACAATATTTTCATCGTCGATTTCTTGCTCAACAATACTATGAGGTCGTGTGTCACCACCAAGATCATCGAAGGAATGCCACCACCGACTGTCGGACCACCGCTGATTGGGGTGCAGACTGGCCTGCACCGGTGGCTGGCGCGCTGACTGCCCTACTCTGGCTGGCTAGGTGCGGCAGTGTTGCTGGGCTAATGCCTCGCTGCTGTCGCTAGTCGAAGAAGAAAGAGAGGTGGGAAAGAAGAAGGCGAAGTAGGGTACTCCGCAGCCTGCCCGCGGCTGGAGCCCTGCTGCCGCAGCCTACCCGTGGCCTGCAGCTGCGTGGCTGGGGAATGATTAGTCCACTCCGCAGCATGGTCGCGATTGGGCACCTCTGGCTGCAGCCTACCTGCGGTCTGGGCTGTCTCGTGCACAACAGCGTGGGTAGGCGCACCTTGTGGCCACATAAAATCTTCATCATCATGCCATAACGCAAGTCATGCAAAATACTTTTCCCACTATAAACGTCGCGCATCCGAAATTAAAGCGACTCAAGATACGGAAATTTGTCTTCAAAGAACTGAACATCCTGACTTACAAAAAGTTCATTAGTCGTCAAATCATAAAGTCGCTAACCTTTTTTACCAAACAGATACCCAACAAAGATGCACTTCCGACTCCGTGAATCAAACTTATCTTTTCCGAGGACGATTCGCAGCATAGGCAAGATAACCAAAGACCCGTATACTATCATAAGACAACACTTGACCAAGCAAACACTCGTGAGGGATCTTACCATTGAGAACAGGAGTCGAAGTCCTATTAATCAAATGCACAGCTGTCATAACACACTCACCCCAAAAATATTTGGGCAACTTTTCTTGAAAGAGCACGTGCCACATTTAAAATATGACGATGTTTCCGTTCAACCCTGCCATTCTGTTAAGTCGTGTCAACACACAGCATTTGATGCAAGCTGCCCTTCTGCGGAAAGAAAAACCCCAAACTAAGAAACTTTTGGTCATTATCACTACGGACCCCCTTCACTTTCTGATCAAATTGAGTCTTAGCCATAGCACAGAACTCATGAACCAACTATGAAGCCTGATATTTACCAACTATCAAAAACACCCAAGTAGCATGATAAAAATCATCAACAATGGTCAGGAAATAACGAGCATCACAACTAGAAACGATCTTATTCGGACCCCAAATATCAAAATGAACTAAATAAAAAATTTCAGATGCTTTATTCATACTTAACGGAAAAGAGTTTCGGGGCTGCTTCCCCATAAAAAAAATGTCACAATCAAAAGAACAACTAGAGTTACAACTTTGAGTATTACGACTACTAAAAACTCCCGAAAGAGAGCTCGCAACTTGCATTAACGGATCCCCGAGACGCCTATGCCATAACAAACATGCATATGAAATAACCACTTTGTTTGCTTGCTGATTCCGAGCACGAACTGGACAAAACATATAGACCCCATTATATTGTACCCGCGGTCCAATCAGGTTTGTTAGTGAACATAATAAAATAGCATTGTTTTTCTAACAATTGAGACACAGATGACAAGTTGCATTTAAGAGCAGGAACATATAAAACATTGTCAAGAGTTAAGTTATCAGACAGAACAACTCTTCCCTCTTTCATAGTCGTCGTGCTCTTCCCATTGGGCAAACCAACAGTCGAAGAAATATCATGTAAATCAATGAAAAGATCAATATTACCAGACATATGATTGGAAGCTCCAGTAGTGTCAATGAGCCAGACAATAGAATTATACGTACCAAGTTTAGTGCCATCTGACGAACAACCAGACTTAACACCCTTTACAGCAGCCATGGTTTCCTTCCATTGAGCGTTAGAAATCGTAGGAACACTCCCACAATCAGAATCAGAGACTTGCTCATTAGAGCCAGATGCTTGCTCTTGTGTAATACTCCGTATTTTTATGTATATTATAAATTATATAATTAATTATAAAATATATTTTTAAAGTACTCAAGTATTTTAATTAAATATTAAAATGGCTAAAGTATTTAAATTATTGAGTTTTATAAAAGCATAATTTATTTTGGGCTAAACGTTTATTAATCGTCTGGACTCATTTAAATAATATAATAGTATTAAACAATTCTTACATACTCCTAGTGGACCAAACCATTTTATTTAAGTAAGCCTAATTATTTTATTTGAACCCTTATTCCTCTTAACCCCAAAAATTTCCCACACAAGAGATCAAAAATCAGATTTTTTGGGGTAAGTAATCTTTTCTTTTCTTTTCCCTTATTTTCCTTTCTTTTCTTTTTCCTTTCTTTTCTTTTTCCTTATTCTTTATTTCCTTTGTTTCTTTCATGCGTGCAAACTCACGCAACTTGCCGCCCAGCAATCACCGCTACCACCTCACCACCGCTGCCATGTCATCGCCGGCAACCAGCCACCTGCCGGCCGGCAATCACCCCCCACCGTGAGCCATCCTTCTCCCTGTCCTCTTGTTTTAATTATTAAACCTATAATTATATACTATGGATTTTTGATTTTAATTATTGAAGTATGATTAATATATTTTATAATTGTGTTTTGACAACTAAAGAGTATAAATTTCAGATTTTGTATGGTTTTAAATTATTATTTTATAAAGTATTAAAAGTTAGGGTTTTAACTATTAAAGTGTTGATTTTTAGGGTTCTAATAATCAATTAAATTAGGGCTTTCATTCCTATTGAATTTATAAAGATTAATTAAACATAAAAACAAATTTTCGGTAATTAAATTCCGATCTCCGTTCTTAATTATTTTTAATCACGTTTTAATCACGTTGAAATTCTAACTCGTCCGATTTTTACAAAACAATAGTGTTTTTCGTGTGTAAACAACGTTCTAATCAGAACACACTACCGTTGGTAGTGATTGCCACCCTCTAGTGGCCAAATTCAGCCTCTAAATAGGGTTTTCGGACAGTTTTTGATTTTCGACGAAGGTTTAATGTTTTAAAAATAATTTTCAGATTTATTTGAGGGATTTAAATCTTAATAAGTGTGCTGGAATTTTTATATAAACACCATGAATGATTTTTTATGTTGTGGTTTTAATTGCCCACTTAAAGAAAGAGTTTTAAAGGTTTTAAACCAAAATTTCAGCTTATTAGAGAAGGTTTAAAGTGTTTAAAAGTTGCTGGAAATTTGTGTAATCAAGGAAGTAATTGAGTTTATGTATTTGGTATTATAGGAGACTTTAAGTTGAGTAATTTCTAGCAATTGTGGCTAGTTGGAAAGATGACTTAAGGTACGTTCGCGTACTTGATAAAGTTTAAGTGTATAGAAGCATGCTAGGCTTTGTTAAATTAATTTCAAGTAGTATCATGATAGGTGTTGGATGGAATTGGTTGATTGGATTGATGTTGGTGAATGATAGGTGATGTATGATTTATTTATGGTGAATTGGTGATTGGATTTAATTATAATGGCATGTTGATTGTGAACCATACTTTTTATTGGCATGTTAGAGAGCATGTTTGATTAAACTAAATGTTAATTTGGTTTGGAATATGAAAAAGGAATTTTATTATGGTTCATATAATTTTTATTGATGCTATAAGCATGAGAAAGGAGCTATTTAAGTGTCTTAGTACACATGGATAAATTATATTGCGGTGCCTATGTGTACTTAAGGTGTTTCTAACACTGAGGGATAGGATAGGATTTGAGGTGCCTTATGCACTTAAGGTATTTATACACCGAGGTAGTTAAAGGATTCAATAACAAATATTGTTTGTCACTAATATATTAAGAATTGAATTGGAAACTTGAATGGTTTGAGTGATTGATGTATGATTGGTTGTGTTGTGTGCATTTGAGTCATCACCAAGTTTAAACCGGTAAATCACGTAAAGTGCAAGAAGGATGAGCACTAAAACTCTGGATTTGTGCACATCTAGAGTAATGACAAACAGGGGTTGGGGTCCACGGGGTATTAGCCGTGTACTTTTCAGAGGTCGTCTGATCTACGAGTCTCTTGTTTTAAATTCTCTTAAAATTATAATGAGTTAGATGAGATCTCATACTAGCTATGGCCACGGAGTTGCGCTCGTCTGCCATTGGATGTTTATTAATGTCTTCCAAAAGGAGGCATAGGGTTTTCTTATTTAATGTTCCGGAATGGAGCATAGGGGGACAACCTGGTCTATTGCTTAATTCAATTAAATTAATGAAGTGATCAATACTATTTAGAGAAACTTTGTAATAAGTAACAATTGAATCATGTGTTCAAGTCCATGATTATATTGTGAGTGTATGGAATGCTTGATAGTATCATGCTAAAACTCTTTACTATATTTCATAGCATGTATGTTCGTGTGCTTTTGTGTGTTTTCTCTTGGTCATGGCCTTCGCCCTTCAATGACCCTGTAATGATCCAATTCTTACACTTGTAATATTGGGGAGCAGATTAATCACAGGTTTTTGCATAAACTGATTTGCATCAGGGTGATGGGATTTGAGTGAAGCGTTGGTTAATCACTTAGCTTATTTTATATCATAGATTGAATTTTATTTTGGTTCTAATTCCATTTACTTCCTATTATACTGGATTTTGAATAAGGGCCGTTATGGTTCCAACTTGTAAGACTAAATTGAGTTTTGACTTTTAGTTTTGAAACTTATATTCCTTTTTAAAACTAAATTAGTTTTCCGCTGCTTATATTTGAAACTAGCCTTAACGTTTGAACACGTGGCGGTAGCACGCCAGTAATTCTCTCACAGGTTATTAAAAGTATTTACAGGTTACTACAGGTTATACAGGTTATTACAGGTTAATACAGGTTTTAAAGAGAGAATTATTGGGGTGTTACATCTTGGAACGAAGATTGTTGCGAATCTATCTCGACCACTCTTCATAGTTGTCGACGGTAAGCAACACAGGACAAATTACCAATTGAGAACCTTCACTCGGATGAAGGTAATAATCCGTGAACGGCTCGTACTTAGAAGGTGGAGGAGGTGGAGTTTTATCGCCTTCACATATCGCACCAAATTACGAGCAGCACAATACTCGCACAACAGCAGCAACACACGACTACAACACCATTCCTAGCACACCACACAACACGCTACACACCACACCTACGTACCACACAACACGCAACAGTAGCAACAAAGACCAAGCACACAATAGCACCAGCGCACCACATGCACAGGAAAGCGCACTGCACACACACAAACCGCAACGAGCGCACCACAAACACGAGCACCACACAACAGAGACGCAGCACCACAAACAATCACGCTACCACACATCAGCGCTTAACCAAACCAAAATTAGGATTGTGAAACCCTAATTTCGAGTAAACTAAATCAGAATTTGTGGGAGAAAATTAAAAAAAATAAAAAATAAAATTGAAGCCTTAATCTCCTAAATTGCGGAAAAGAAACAAATTAATGTGATGAACAAACCAAAATAAAAAAAAAAAAATCTTTAGAAATTAGAGAGGCTGTAGTATCATGTTAAACTCAAGGAAATACAAGAGAAAACGACTTAGCCTTGCATTGATAATTACAACAAATATATATATAGACGATACAAAAAACCTAACTTGCCTAAAACTCCTAACAAGATAAAGTTGAGAAATATACAATATTAACATATATAAACCAACCGACTTCTAATGGTTTTTGCCTTGAGTTGTCCCCTTTTAATACAAAAACCAAGGATGACCCAAAAAAATTAAAATTAAAATTAAAATTAAATTAATCGGAGAATTGCTGCAGTTTTTGATTTTTTCCACACGAGAGTTAGAGCGAGCTCCAGCCTCAAGCCTGCAGCAGCTAGCCATTGACAAACTCGAGTCCAGCTTTTGGTTTTCATCAAATGGGTGCATCTGAATCTACGATTTCATCCTCCATTGTAACTACCACTCTTGAATTCCCTTTTCTATTTATTATATACAAGTACCAACTATTGTTTTTGGTGCTATTGTTTGATTTGTTTCTCTTTTTTTTTTTTTTAACCCAGTTACATTTTTTCATATTTTGGATGTGATTAGAAATCGGAGGATCAGATAACTACAGTATCCGAACGAATTGAAGATGCGGACCCAATTTTGGATAGACTAAAATCGCTAAAAATCGTAAGATTTAACTATTATTCTGTAAGTTAATTTTGGTGCTTTTGTTCCTATATATATGAAAGAAAAAACTACTTGGTTGATGTTGTTCTAGGCAACGCCAATTCTGACAGCCCCTCCAGCAGAGAGTAGTTTGACTGATCTTCTAGTGCGGAAGTCCTTATCCTCCTCAAAACATGGTACCTATGCTCCTTACTCTCTTTCTGATTCAATTTTACTTCATTTTTGTGTTATTGTGAATTGAAACCTATGTTACATGGACTTGGGTACCCATGTGGGTACTTGTCCAAGTGTCTGACTCGGCTATTTTGTGAAAAAGTTCCATGATTTTGAATTAAAAGTGAAGTGTTTAAGTGTCATACCCATGTCTGATTGTGAGGGTGGGTTCGACATGGGTAATTAAGGTGAAATGAGAGTCCATGTAACATAGATTGAAACAAACTATCTAGACACTAAGGACTTCTTTTATCAGCTCAAAGAGAATTCATTATTGACTTGGTAAGTAGGGATTGAATGGAAAAGCAAGGAAATAAATCAGGGGTTATTTGATTGGCAGAGTAGTATGAGTTTGGAATGAGGAACGAAATTAGGGTGGTGTGTTGTCTTTGTACAAGATATTTGTGTACAAATAATTCATTCACACCTGCTCTCCTGTTTGTCACATATTCAAGAAGACTCTATATCCACTATTGAAGCACTCGCAGTCAATTTGGGTAAACAGGTCGGGTTTGAGTCGGGTCATTTCGGGTTAATGTCGTAACCTATACGGGTCGGGTTCGGGTTGGGTCATGCTTGAGTCGGGTAACGTCGAGTCATACATCTTATCGGGTTTGGGTCGGGTTAATAACAGGTCGGGTTACATTCGGGTCGGGTGAATAATAGGTTGGGTTTAATTCGGGTTTTCACTGGTTAAAACGGGTTAGGGTCATTCTCAGGTTAGAGTCGGGTTCGGTTCAAGTCAATAATTTGCGGGTTATAATCAGGCGGGTCATTCTCGGGTTTGAGTCGGGTTCGGTTCAAGTCAATAATTTGCGGGTTATAATCAGGTCGGGTCATTTCCAAGTCGGGTCATTCTCGGGTTCAAGTCGGGTTCGGTTCAAGTCAATTGTTTGCGGGTTCAAGTCAATTGTTTGCGGGTTCAAGTCGGGTTCGGTTCAAGTCAATTGTCATATACTCATGCTTGCATTCAATCATTATCACGTTCAATTCAATCATTATCCGAAATTATTATTATTTTTAACTTTTTATTATTTGATTTTATTTTTTTTATTTTTTTATTTTTTTTATTTTTATTTTTTATAAAATATAAGATAAAACAATCAAGCCTAAGGTCAAATAGTATTTGTAAACCGTAATTGATTACATTAATGCACATGCACCTACAAAGTAGTAGTATTCGTAAACCATAATTGCTTAATTGAAATATAGAATGAACTCGCACCTAAAAAGTAGTAGTATTCGTAAATCGTAATTACTAAATTTAAATAAAGAATGCACATGCATCCAAAAAGTAGTGGTATTCATAAATTTTTATAGGTTTTTTTTTCAGACATATAAATTGTAATACATTTGATAATAGAGAATTTTATTGAAAATATTTGAATAAGCTTAAATAGGAAAATAATTCATAGAATTAGGGAAAGAAAAAAAGATATGAGGTGATCCTATATTGCTAGTTAATTCGGGTCAATAACAAGTCGGGTTGATTTCGGGTCGGGTTAGTGACAGATCGGGTTGAATTTCGCGTCGGGTTAGTAATAGGTCGGGTTATATTCGGGTCGGGTTATTAAAAGTCGGGTTAGGAATAGGTCGGGTTGAATTTAGATCGGGTTAAATTCAGGTTTTGATGGGTTAAAACGGGTTTGGGTCAATTTCGGTTCAAGTCGGGTTCGGTTCAAGTCAATATTTTACGGGTTATATTCGGGTCGGGTCATCTCCAGGTTGGTTTATGTTCGGGTTCGGGTCTCAAATACTTGGGTTAACTCGGGTCTAGGGTTGGTTTCAGGTCGGGTCATATCGGGTTCGGATCATCATTTTTCCGGGTTTAGACGGGTTGGGTTCGGGTCGGTATTTCGCGTTAGGTCAGCTTTTGACAGCTCTAACTGGTAGTACTTACGAGTCCTTCTGGTAGGCTCTTTGAGGTATACCATGGTCTTTTAGTAAATTTTTTTTGTGAGAGATTGTCTTTTACACTTTGTTTGGATTGAAGAAAATGGAGCATAGAGTATCTTTCATATGGATAAGGATTGGAGGGAGAGAAATGGAGGGATTAAATTGTAAGAAAATGATCTCTCCAAATGGAGAGATTTAGAAGGATAACTCATCATTCTATCCTCCTCTTCCCTTCCCTTCCCGTAGTATATCCGGCTTTCATATCGGTGTATTAAATTCTAATGGACGAGGCCCCAAACAAAATGATCAGAAAACTTGGCGTTTCAGTTTCCTTTTTCCGTATGATGGGGAGGGAGGAAGGGAAGGTTATAAAGAAGTGAATTTACTTAACCAAACTTTTCCCACTACTAAGGAGGTGTTAGGGTTATTAAAAACAAAAACAATTATAAGGATCGCTAAGCTAGAACCAGCTGGGTAAAATAGTGAACCAAAGGATCACCAAATAATAGCTAAAGAATAAGCTATGTCATATAAAATCTGCAACTTTTTTTTTTCTTTCTTTCTATGTCCAACACTTAATAGCCAAGAAAACCAGCTCCCACATCTCACTAATCCACTTCATAGTCATCTGCCATGCACCCAACAAAGTATAATCTTGACTAGCTGGACATGACCACGACATATAAGGAAAACGCTGAATTAAGATGTAGTCTACCAATTTCTCCTATTTCTTTCTGGTTGCAAAACCTAATATTACTTCTCTTGAGAACTTCTTCTATGGGTAATATCTGCTGTATGTTGCTGGCACAGAAACATTCTTTAGGAGAAATCTTCAACCTCCATGTATTTTTTTAAGGCTGGGAAATGGGAATTTTCTGCTCTTAGTCACAGATCATAGCATCATTGCCTACTGGGCTACAACATCCACCTTAGTCACAGACACAAGAAGTAATTGCGACGAACTAATTCAAGATGGTTAAACTATTTGTGAATTCATGATGCTAATGATTCAGCTAGTAACTGATGGCATTGCAGTTTCAGAGGCCTATTGTGAAAACTAAACTTGAACTGTAATGTAGTTGGCATCCATTAACCAATGTTTTTGTTTGCCTCTGCTAATAAGGAAGAGATGTAAAGAATGATTCACAACGAAGAAACTAAATAGAGTGTTCAACCAGAAGAATTCCACACTTTTCTAAAGACCCGAGAACATGAATGTATCTTCTCGTGGGAGGTACTGGGTATGGACATGTCGATCACATTGTACCTTGAAACGCTCCGTAATAACAAATTATGGATTATGCTATGACTCTGGCCATGAGCATGTTAAGGGATGTGAAGTGATTTGAAAGGCTTGCTTGTGAAATTGTTTGTTTGTTGCATTTATTTATTTCCTCTTTGCAAAGTGATTTGAAGGGAAATGCAATGGCAAGTCAACAAAATTCACATCATAGAAAGCTTTCTGAATTTCTATGGCTTATGGTTGAATCAGGTACTTTAAACCCAAAGGTGATCCTGGATCTTTTCTCTATGTATCGTGACTGGCAGGAGGACAAGGCTTATAAGATCTCCTGTAGACAGGTTTGCATCCTATCTCATAATTAACTTCATGTGTTCAACACGTTGCTGCAATCACAATTAAGGTGCTTACTATTCAGGGCATGGGGTAAGAGTTTAGAAAGCTTAAGAGTTTAGAAATCTGGACACTCAGCATTTTGAATTCCAATCATTGGAGCTTAGAGGTAGGAGTTTTGAACTCAAATCAATTCACTTAAGAGGTTGAATCTATTGAACAGTAGCATAGTGGTACAAGTTGTTATACTAATTTGCCTGTCATTTATCTTTAGTTTGGTACTTAGCTTCACAGATTCCTTGGGTTGTCACTTTGTCCAATAAAGTTATAGAGTCATAAGTGGTTTTTCAGGGTTTATCATTTTAAGAAATTTGGGTTTAAAATTTTGTTAAAGAATGAAGTAAAATCATGATAACAACTAGATACTTGCTTTTAGGCTTAGTCTACAGTCTACAGTCTTTCCCTTGCTCTTCATCAAAAATCTACTTTTTACAGGATGAAATTGAAAACAAGATAGAGGTTGTAGATGCATTGGCAGTTAAACTTCTGCAGCGATTTAATGGCTCTGTATCAACCATGAAGACTGCATCACAACATTTATCAGAAGGTAATGCTGATGATCTCAAGACAAACTTTACGATCGCAGTTTTAATTTTTTTGTACTGATCTCTTTGTAGTATTATCTTGTTCTTTAGCAGCTAATTTCTGATGTTTTTGGGCTAAAGATATACTCCCTCAGTTCAAAAATGTCCCTAACCCCATTTAGGATATAGTGTGCATGTTTTTTCAAAAGGACCTTCTATATTATTTCTACCACTCCTCATTTACTTAACTTAGGTCGTGGCATATGTATTTGAGAAAAATCACCAATTATTATTGTTTGAGGAAACATGGAAACTTTTTAAGTGGTCTTATATTACTGGATGTGGATACATATGCAATTTTAACAAGTAATTTCAGATTTCCAGGCAGAGGAGTTTGTTTCCATATAATTCACACTACCTTTTTTTTTTTTTTGTGTTTTTGTTTTTCATTAACACTACTCATTGTACATTATTTCTCGCACTTCATTTTGAACCCACTATTCTCTTATTATGTTAAAAAAATTATGAAATACCTTACTATACACAAATTAAAATTAAAAAAAAAAATCCCGCGACCAATTATCACACAATAAACAAATAAATCAATTAAATTAGCTTAAAAATTTGTGTTGGTCAAAGTATGTCAACTAAATAGGGATGAAATTGGTAAATCTTATCTGAATTGTACATTTGTACCTCGTGTAGTCATCCCCAATTGTAGCATGATTTGTTGATACATCTCATATTTGCATTGTACGCAGTTCATGCATTGCAAGTGGAGCTTGGGGAGCTTAAAGGGCGGTTGACTGAGGTTATTAGTAACTGTGATACATTATGCCGAAGAATTGCTTCAGATGGTCCTGAGTCACTTCGGTCATCTGTTATGCCCTTTTCTGCATCCAATGCTGATGTAAATATCAAATCCAATTTGTGTCCAGGAGTTAGAGATACAAGCCAGCCTTCGAACAAAGCGGGTGAAGATTAATTTTGCAATTTAAGTTATCCAATCTATGTTTGCTTTGTAGCCCAAAGGTGATAATTGTGCATGTATAGAATTTAATATTTGTGTAAATTTAAGAAATTTGCTGCTAAGAGTTGGTAGAGCAACATAACATCATATATGCAGGATATATAAGGGCATTCATATAGAGATAACTCTTTAATCTTGCAAAGTAGTTTGGCAAAATCAGTCAGCTTAGAATGAATCTTCTTAGCTAATGATCATGCTCTACACATTACACAAAAACATGTATATATTCACATAGTAAGCAACATGTAAACAAGCATCATGTTCAAATACAAGAAAAGAGAATGTTGATACAATCTGGTGTTTTGTTCTTCAATAAGACAACATCTAGTCAAACAAACATCCCATTATTTTATCCTGATTCAAATCAAGTAACTCTCAATGTTCCATTTTGATACTCCATTTCCAGGTTCCCTCATCCTTAGATTCAGAAAAGGAACAAAAAAAAAAAAAAAAAGAAAAAAAAAAAAAAAACTCATTGACTTTTGCTATCAGATTTTGCTAATTAAAATATACAAAGTATTATAGTTGAAAGTGCAATAATATTCAAGCTAGATTATCTTTTTAATAAATTTGAAGTAGCTAATGGGAATGTATACTTTGATCCTATGTTATATGGACTCAGGTACCCATATTTGATACGAGTACATGTTTAAGCGTCCGACTTTGCAATTTTGTAAAAAAATTCCATGATTTTGAAATAAAAGTGAAGTGCTGCTAGATTAAAGAATCAAGGAAGAAGAACAATTCCCTTCTGTATTTTCGTGTCTGATGCCTTATGGCTGCTTCCAATATATATACACCTAATAGTTTAAAGCCCACTAAGAAAGTTAGGCCAGTAAGCTATGCTAGGAAACTTAACAGCTATACAATCCTAAATATATGCAAAATATATACATTAATATTACGCCTAATACTCCCCCTGAAGTTGGAGTATGAAGATCTCGAATGCCCAACTTGCGAAAAAGTGTCAAAATTGTGATTTCCCAAGAGCTTTTGTAAAAATATCCGCTAATTGATCACTCGTTCATACGTAGGACGTAGCAATATTACCAGCCTTAAGCTCATCCCGAACAAAGTGACAATCCACCTGAATGTGTTTCGTACGTTCATGGAACACTGGATTCGCTGCAATATGTAATGCCGTCTGATTATTGTTTAGGGTAAAATTACCCATGACAAATGGACCAATCCGGACCTGCCACGTGTCCACCACGTGGGCCAATCAGCGTCCGCCACTTGTCACCCTAAGAGGTCCAATATGGACTAATCAGGCCACACCACGTGGCCTCCCATATGCCAAATAGGCAAAAATGGCCACCAAGGCCCAAAGTCCGAGAGAAGCCCAATTTGCCCTGGTTAACCTAAACCTAGGATTGGCACGCTTCTCAAGACTATAAATACTTAATTAATCCTCATTAAAGGGGATTCAGCGATTGATGACTCTCACCTAGAGAAGTCTAAACACATTGATCACTCCTCCCCTAGAGGAACCAGATCTCCCACCTTTACTTTCCGCATTTATTACTCCTCAAACAAGTACTAACTTGATCGTTGGAGGCGGAGCTCCCACCACAAGGAGTCTCCGTTTTTTTGCAGGTACAGGCGCAAGGATACCAGTCTCGGAATTGTAACTCTCCCGCAGGACATCAGAAAACCCCGAAACATCTTGGCGCCGTCTGTGGGGAGAGTACTTCTGAGATGGCATCCACGTTTGTACCGGCTCCTGAAGAGAGACGTCCCCTGGACGACCCTCTAGTTCAGTCGGACCATGATACTGAGGAAGAATTTAAAGTTGAAGCTCACACAGCTTCAGACGGGACCCTAAGGGCCCGGCGCACCCGTCCTACCGAAAGGAGGGAACGAGAGGCTGGTCCCAGTCGGCCAGCCGGCCCACCGCCTGAGACTCAGCAGGCGGCCGAAGGATCTGCTCCTATTACTAGGACAGAACTCATGACTCTCATGAGTACTTTCAGGGGAAAGATCCAAGAGCTTCTCAATAAAAAGGCGACTGCTCCACCAAAGGAACAGTCGGCCAGATCAAACAACTCCCAGTTGAAGTTACATGCGCCTCGCATGAAACTACTGGGTACAACCGGCAATATACCAGCCTCCGAGCATACGGCCAGGCGGCCAACTACTGCAGGCGTCATACGGCCGAATGCAAAGAGTCAGACGGTCAAGCTTCTCCACCTAAGAGCCTTAGGTGGCAACCTACTACAAAGTTAATCTTAGCATTTGATATTATCAAGTGGCATAAGTAGTGTCATAACTACCAGCCCACATCGCTATATACATAGCCGGCTCCCATGATGCTTGTCACGAACAACTTCCTTGGTCGGTTGTTCTACATGTCTAGGAAGCCTGCTGTTTTTCCTTCGATAAAGGCCCGACTGTGAGTGCAGTAGTGGCATGCCAACGTTGAGCCTTTGAGCTTTTAGGCGGCAACCATAAGAGCAGCCCTCATTCTCGCATAAACAGCCGGCTCTATATGATGTTTTATCAAGGTACAGTCGCAAGGTTTTTTCTCAAAATATAATGCCAAGTATACTTGATACAAATGAGTTTGGTTCCAGCTTGTTCTTCCAAAAGCAAACAACCAAAATACTCGCACATATAAAAATCTCTCGGCCTGCCGAGAGGAGTAGCGCTTGGCCCGTAGTAATATAATTGGCCATGAGAGTGAATGCTTTAACTTGTTCATGTGCTAGCCTCTTATTGAAAGCTGGGCATTGGCGTCTCGCCCAAGGAAGCAGGCGGCCAGATGACAGCCGGCCTAGTCCTAGCCACGAAGCATGACAAATCAGCTAGCCATGCTAATGTAGGTGACACCTAAACAGCCAGCCCAATCCGAGCCACCAAACAGCCGGATTGATCACTTCAAGAACAAGCAACTCAAAAGGCCGAGACGAATGAGTTCGTGTGTATGTAAAAAATAGGCAGCTAGGCAGCTGTATTTATGTATGGGAAGCATTGAAACCGGCTGTTTAGCCATCAAGTAAATCCAACAAACCACTTGTCTTTCATGAAAGCAGGCGGCATCCACAGCGAACGCATCAAGCAATGCGTGAGGTGATATGGGTCTTCATGTTTTGTAATGAGGGTCGAGTCTTGAATCACTTTGGTCTAAACATTTTGTAATGAAATAATGCCCAACACGATAAAAACATAATTAAAACAAGCGGCAAGCTGATCATACGGCATCATGTGGCCGAATAAAATTTTGAAAGTTAGCTCCATTAAGAAGAGCAGCTCGGCATCCTTACCAAAGCACCATGAAAGCTCAAAATGAGTGCCTTTTGAAATTTCATAGTATCATGGGTAAACATCAAGAATCAAACGACACATTGCTATTGTTTGTAAAGAAACAGCCACCATGTGTATGCACGCAACAACAAGTCCCTTGTATGTCTATAGACAGCCGGCCTAGTCCTAGCAACACAGCAAGGAGCAACTCTAAAACACATCCGGCTTGGCTGAGTTTAGATGGTCGAAGAATTCGAGAGTAGGCGGCATCTAAGTGTCGTAGCTCAAGCTAGCAGGGGGCACTTGCAACCAAAGAAGCTAGCCATAGTAAAACATGCGGCACATGAAACACAATTATCGTGCTAAGTTCAAATATCATGCTGAGATTTGACGTTGATGCTAGGTACGAGTACATGCCAAGTAGATGCTAAGCTATCCATTCGTCCAACCAAGTGTGTAACCATGTGTTTGAAGAGCCGCATGAAGTGATCATCCAAGCCAAATTTATGAGCCCAAGAGTATATAACTCAACTTGCTAAGTTAGGGAATCCTCATTGCTCTTATTTCAGCCGGCATTCAGTGCTCAGACGCTCAATAAAATCAAATAGTCGGCCACCCTTGTTAATGAAAACAGGCGGCCACAAGTGCTCTTCAAGACTCAAGCCCAGTCCCAGCTAGACTCACCTTAAACAACCGGCACTTGGTTGAAAGGGCATGAGCAAAAGTGGGTCTTCATACTTTTTAAATAGGGGCCGAGTCTTATGATCATTTTTGTCTAAATAATGCCAAGCACGTAAATAGCATGCAACCGGCATCATGCGCTAGTCACCTAGCTTCAGCCGGCATGTCCACTTCGATGGCACCTTCATTGGTCCTTCGAATAGGCTAGCAGGCGGCAGCTCAAACTCCAACTGGCATATCACGGCAGAACCAGCCGGCCTTTGAAATCATTGACAAAGTACAAGGTGGAGCATGGGCACCTATGATTAAAGCATCCGACAGTAGCACAAGCAAGGGGCGAAAGCCGTATGTTTGATAGACTCCTTGCTGAGTGGAAAACTGAAGATGAATTAGAAACTCAAGCGGCATAATAAGCCACCTGTGAATATGCAAGCTATATACAAGTGGCTCGGCAATCGACATCATACAACAGGCGGCACGCCAAATGATTATTGAAAACACCCCCTCGTATCTTGGTGCTATGAGAGAGCCAGCTCTCTTTAAACAACCAACAAAGGAGACCGGCACCATGCTTGGCCGGATGTGAAGCTTGAGCAGGCGGCATGTAAAGCATCGTAGCTTAAGCAGCCGGCCTCAAAACCCAAAGAGTAGTCGATTGCTTGTTCATTGCAAGCATGTGTGGGGCTTGACGCCTTGCATATCGTATAAAACCTGCCGCATGATTGTTCAGGAAGTCTCATCTTATGTGTGAGTTGTCACCATAAGCACAATATCATTATTATGATTGCAAGTAAAAAAAAAAAAAAATAAAATAAAATTGCCTAAGGTTAGTAAACCCGGCTGTTTAGGCGGCACCCTATTGAAGACCGTCTCCCTTCTGTTTAGGCGACACCTTACTGAAGACCGTCCTCCACTTATTTGTGTGACAATCTATTAAGCAAGAGAGGCGGCATGAATAGTAGTCGGCCCCCTATACGACGAAGTCTCGAAGCTATGAAAGCAGTCGACCCTCATTAATTTCACTAAGGGGCTAAAGACCGGCAGAAAATGTGTGGGCCGAACAACAAGGTCGCAAACCACATTAAAACAACTGTTCCCATTCGAAGAAAGTAGAGTCACCAATCCTCCATGGAAGGGAGCTAAGTGATCTATCTACTCTAACACATGAAATTATTTCAATACTTGATACTAATTCAGAGGGGCATGTCGCTTGTACCTTTACAGTCGGCTACTCTCCATTGAGTATTTCACTCTATCATCAGAGGGGCATGCCGTTGTACCTTTACAGTCGGCTACTCTCCATTGAGTATAGCAGCGGCACCTCTATAGTCGGCTACTCTCTGCTTTGATTATTTTACTCTATCACTAG